GTCGTGGTCGTCGCCGTCGTCGCTCGTCGTCGTCGTACTCGTCGCCGTCGTCGCTCGTCGTCGCCGCCGCCGTCGTCGTCGTCGTCGTCGTCGTCGTCGTCGTCGTCGTCGTCGTCGTCGCCGTCGTGCGCGCGGACGCCGTGGTGGCGCCGCCGCCGCACGCTGGGGGGGGGGGGGCGGGGGGGGCGGCACGTCATACGTCGCATTCCCTGTGTTTTGTTCGGCTTCGTGCGTGGCTGTTTCGCAAAATGATCGAGGATGCTCCTCGAGGGTCCTCGCCGAAGGAAACATGCACACGTCCGAGCGATGCCAAGCCCCCCGCCCTCTCGGGAGCGGCCAAGAGGGGGGTGTCCAAGAGGGGGGGGTGCAAATCATGACCGGCGGCATGTGCGCGGCCCAGCGGGGGGGCCAGGGACGTAATGAAATAAGAAGAGGCACCGTAAAATCAGGGGAAATATCATGGCCCCCGCCATGATATCCACCCCCCCTGGTCATCACCCCCCTCTCTGCCGCCCCCCGCCCTCCCGCCCTCCCCTCAACACCCGCTGCCGCCGCGAAGAAGAAGAACAAAAAAAAACGCGCCGGGGGCCTCTCGAGGCCGGGTATTCGACAGATCTGCGGGCGGCTCTTCGGCGGAGTGCCCGGCGGTTCTCCGGCCCCTCGGAGGGCGTTTTCCAGCGGCGGCGCCCCGCCGCGAGCTCTCTCCTGAGGTGCCCAAATCGTGCCAAACGGCCACCGGGAGAGCAGAGCTACATCCCTCGTCGACATTGGACGCAAGTTTTAGCCCTCGTCGAAATTGAAGGCGACTTCGAGATTTTCTTCGGACCCCGCCGGCCGCGATGCGCCTGTCGATGAACATTGAAATTTGGGGGCGACGCGGGTGGAAAAAACTTGCGTTCAATTTCGACGAGGGTTGTATGACCACCAGGCGTCCGAGAGGAGGCAGGCCTGCTTAGGAGGCGGCAGTTCTTCCCAAGGCCCCCCAGCCTGCCGAGAAGCCTTTTGTACCTTCGGCGAAGGCTGGGAGAGCTTCTCAAGAGACCGGGGGCTTTCTGAGCTTCCCGTGAGTGCCTGTCCACTCTGCCTTCCCTCCCTGGGCGCGCCGCCGAAAAGCGACTTGCAGCGCAGCTTGAGCTATCGATCCGTGCTTTCGTCAAGCAGGCGCTGGCTCACTCCGAAGAGGTTTTTTGTGCGCTGAAACGCTGTGCGAGTCCGTTCCATGGGAGCCGACGTGGCCCCAGGCGCTGTCCGATTTGGACCTGACTTGGACTGTGCTTGGACCAGATTTCAGACCGGATTTGATTTGGACCGCGCCCGCCCCTTCACATAGGAGACGAGAAGAACGAGGAGGGGGAGGGGGAACAGGAAGGGCGAGGAGGAGCAGGAGAAAAGTACCACATGCGGGCCAAGCGCGGTCCAACTGCAGGAAAGGCTGAGTTCAGGGTCGCCACCCCCGAGGCTCCCAGGAACAGACACCGACGACGCTGCCACGAGACGCTGCAGTTTTAAGTCGGGCCTGTCCCCCATACAGGGGGACTTTCGACGAAAAATAAAACATACCCCCAAACGAATCAAAAAATAGTCCAAAAATAGTCTGGGGACCATGTTTGGAGTACTTTCTGACTTTTTGGGAGTATGTTTGGGGTATTTTTTTTTATTTTTAGTCGAGAATCCCCCTGTAGGGGGATACGCCCGACAGAACTGCAGCTGCGACGACTTCCCCTCGGAGCCCGCTCGGCGTCCGGGCCCGCTCGGCCGCCGAGGCCGGGCCTCGGTCGGCACCGCCCCGCGGCCGAGCGGCGCCCCTCTCCCCCGCCGCGGCGCCGACGCCGAGAGCCCGCTCGGCTGCCCGCTCCGCGGCCACGCGGACGAAGAGGAAATGGCCATCGGACACACAGGAGTAAATACACACAAATCACAGGATGCCCCACGCTTGCCCATATATCCTCTGGGCGCTCGTCTTCCCCCCCCACACTTCCCATATGCTCCCATACTTTCGGGGGCATCGACGATTCATTGTGTCTGCGTGTTTTCTTCCCCTCCTCAGAAGAGGCTCGGACGCCGAACGATTCGGGAGCGGCCAATAGGGAGGTGTCCTAGAGGGGGGGACGCAAATCATGACCGGCGGCGGCATGTGCTCGGCCCAGAGGGGGGCCAGGGACGTCATGAAGCGAGAAAAGGCGCCACGAACTCTGGGGAAATATCATGGCCCCCGCCATGATATCCGCCCCCCCCTAGTCATCACCCCCCTCTCTGCCGCCCCCGAGCGATGTCAGAGGGGCACCCCGTGGGGGATCGCTGGGTCCCGAGGCCCCCCGCAGGCCTCCTGCGGAGTCCCTCCGGGCCCCCCACCAGCAGGGGCCACGATCGTCGCGGGCTTGGATAGACGAGCGCGTTCCACTACTCGCAGAGTCACTGCTCGCAAATGGCCTGAATCTCCCGCGGGGGATCTGCGTGAAATGACATACAAGCAGACATGTGCTTTTTTCTGACGTTTGCGAGGTGGGCATTCTGCGGGTAACTGGAACGCGCTCGGTGATTGGAGGATGTCACGGGCGCCGCGGCCGTTTCGGAGCGTTCAGGAAAGCTCGGACGGTGTTCCGGAGAGCTCTGGAGAGGTTAGATCTCGATTCGAGGCCTGCCTGACAAGCTCCGTGGCTCCTCCGCCGCACCCCGCCCTCCGACGCCCTGATGTCTTCGGCGCGGGGCCCCCGGACCCCTCGGCACCTTCGCCGGGACCAGCTCGTTCGCCGGGGGGGGTCGCATATCCTCTGACGGCCCCTGGGCCCGCAAGAGGCCTCCCTCGCCACCGCTCGGACGTCCATTCTCTGTGTTTTTTTGGTTTCGTGCGTGGTTTTTTCGCCAAATGATCAAGGATGCTCCTCGATGGCCCTCGCCGAAGGAAAAATGCACACGTCCGAGCGATGCCAAGCTCCAGGCGCCGAAGCGCCTCCGCCCCGAGTTGCTTCTGGGCGTCGACTGCCTATGGGTGCGCCTGCTCGCGCGCCGGCGCGTCGGACGGGGCACCAGCTCACGCCGCCCCCCCGCGGGCCTGGTGCCGCGTCCACCTGCGCACACCCAGGCAAGGCACCCGCCGTCGCCGGGGAGGTCTCGGCCGTCCGCCGTCGTCGCCTCCGCTGTTTTCGCCGCTGTCGCCGCTGTCGCCGCCGCCGTCGCCGAGGCCAGCGTTGCTGTCGCCGCCGCCGCCGTTGCCGCCGCCATGGTCATGGCCTTGGGCGTCGTCGCCGTCGTCGTTATCCTCCTCTTTCCCCTCGTGGGCGTGTTTCTGCTCCTCCTCTTCATCGTCCGTCGCTGTTCCTATCAGGTGGCTCCTCCTCGTCGCCCCTCCCGACGCCGCGTTGAATGGAAGGGTCAGGCGCGTCGCCTGAGACTTCCTCGCAGCCAGGCGGAACATGTCGTACGCCATAGATTGCGTGTTCAAACATCAGTTTACGCACAGGCATTGATGCGAACGGCTTCGGAGAGCGACATTGCTCGCCGCAGGTGTGTTCTAGACATTATTCGACGTTTGTTTGTCGATCAGCGGCCAACTCCCGACCCCTTCCCCAGAAGTAGCCCTGCTTCCAAGATCCGTTTTTGGTGGCCCCGGGTCCCGAAAGCGGGCCGAAAAAGGCCGAAACGACGGAACGATGCCCCGATTGAAGACTCACATCGTCGGAGTTATTGGAATGAGTGGGCCCAGTTCCATGTTCCATTCGACCTCTATCTCTGTCGCGGGCGGGGGGAATGACTCAACGCTACCGATCGGGCACGGGTGTGGCGGAACCGAGCTCCTCTCTCGTGTCCTCCTTCACCTCCCCGTCGCATGGCGTGTCCATCGCAATTATACTGGCCACCAGCCTCTTGGGGTGGGAGCGGGGGCGAGCTCGTGTGTGTGTGTGACGGGCGGAACGGGGACATCTGGATGAGGGTCCGATCGGCCCTGACCGCCCGGGAAGAGGGGGAGGTCACCTTGGAAGGGGCCCTGGGACACACAAATGAGTACACACAAATAAAAATATTACCCATATTTTATCATATTTTGGGGTTTTTTGTCTTCCTCCCCACTTCCCATTACTTGTGTCTGTGTGTTTTTTTTTCCCCTCCCGAACCTTGGAATGGACTCCCTCCCACACTGACCCCGAGAACCCGGGGCTGACGGATCGCGAGCGCTTCCTCGCTCTCGGCAACCAGGCTGCCGATGCGGCCGCGGGAGGGGCGGCCGAGAGGCACTGGTCTCTTTCTCGGCCGCTGCTGCCCCTCCCACGGACCAGCGGGACACCACCGCCGCTCTCGCCCGGAGGAGGGCCCACCGAGCCCTCGCGGACGCAGCCGCCGCTGACCCCAAGAAGCCCAGAGAGGATTCGGGGACCCTGGAGAGGGCCCGCTTGGGCTCCAAGGAGGAGCGTGCTGCTCGTGCCAGCGCTCACGCTCTTGCACGCTGTGGGGCCCACTGGAGGTGCTCCCAGTGCGGCCAGCTCACGACTCGATCCCAGCCCGCGGATGCTTGCTCGTCGCCGTGCTCGGATTCGTCGGTTTCCTGGCCGCTCGATGTCGTGTCTTCGGTCCCTGGCCCTGTTCCGGTCGGTGGTTTGACTCTGCATCGGTCCCGTCGTCTTGGCTACTGGGATCGTTTTTGCATGTACTTCTGTCACGTCTGTGGCAACACTGCCACGATCGACGGCCGCCAGCTTGGAGGCGAATGCTTGCCCCCAGGTAAGAAGGGGTGAGAGAGTCTCGCCCGGATTGCAAAAGGCAAGCTCCCGAGTTATGCGGGGCCTCCCAAGACGGTCCAGGCGGGGGCTTTTGATCGGGTCGGGCGAAAGGGGAGGATAGCAAAGGGGGGGTTTGAGAATCAGCTCACGTAGCTGATTTTCCCGGCGCCTCCCGGCGCCGGAGGCGGCTATGTATCGAGGAATGGGCCCCTCGGTGAGGCCGAAACCAGCTGCATGCAGCAGATTTCGTAACCCCCCCTTTCCCAATCCCCCCCTTTCGTGTGAGAAAGAGCGGTTGTTACAGCAGGGGGCAGCCAGCAGCTCGGAGCGTTCGGCGCCTTCGCCCCACCGCTGAGGCCCTCACCCTCTTTTCCTCCTCTTCGCGCTGTGCTGCGCAGAGCTCCAAAAGGGGTGTGTCCAGCGCAGCTGCCCGCTTGCAGACGGTGCCTCGGGACGAAGGGGGTCGAGGAAGGGGTGGAAAGACCCACCCTCCAGCACCTCAGGACCCCCTGCTGAGCACACCCTCGAGGAAAAACCACAGAGCATAGATATACGCACGTTCGGAGGCCCGCGCGGGCCTGCTCGGGTCGGCTCTGGGCCCCCCTCAGTTGGCGTGCGGAGCGCGCGGGGGGCGCCGCCGTCGGGGGGGCCGGCGCCGATCCAGAAGAAGTCCGAGCGGAGCGGCGAAAGCTTCGCGCTGCTGCCGTTCTCCTGCATCGGCACGATCGGCGCCCGGGCCCTCGTCGGCCGCCGCGTGGGCCGCCGAGCGGGCTCTGTGGCCATCGCTCGGGCGTCCATTTTCCCGGTGTTTTTTTGCGATATTTCGCGCGTGGTTTTTTCTCGCCGCAGGAGCAAGGATGCTCCTCGATGGCCCTCGCCGAGGGAAAAATGCACACGTCCTTGGGCGCCCGAGTTATCCGGGGTAACTCGGGTCCGGGGTAACTCGGGTCTGGATTCCCGAAGAAGGAACCCGAGTTAGCCCTGACCCGAGTTGCCCCTGATGATGTGGGGCTCTGGACGCCCGAGTTATCCAGGGTAACTCGGGTCCGGGGTAGCTCGGGTTCGGATCCCCCCAAAACGAACCCGAGTTAACCCTGACCCGAGTTACCCCTGATGATTCGGGGCTCTGACGTCCGAGCGATGCCGACCGGGCTCGGTTCCGACGCCGCGGTGGGCATGCTCAGCCCGCCCGGCCGCCGAGAGCGGGCCCGACCCGGGCCCACACGGCGGCCGCGCGGGGGATCGGGCGCCGCACGGGCCCGGGCAAGAGGTGGCCCCTGGGTGCGCGGCTCTCGAGCGAGCGCAGGGGGCCGGCCCCAGAGTGACGAGCGAACAGCTCGTGGGGGTGCTCGGGTATATTTGAAGGGAAACTGGGACACACAAATAAATACACACAAATAAAAAGATGTCCCATATTTTCCTATATTTTCTGGGTTTTTGTCTTCCCCACCACTTCCCATATTTTCCCATATTTTCCTGGGGATCGACGATTAATTGTGTCTGTGTGTTTTTTCCCCTCCTGAATATTTCTGGCAAGCGCAAGAGGAGCGACTGGCGCATAGGCGGCATTATAAAAGGCACGTGCGGGGCGGCCCCCGATCGCCAGCTCCACGCGGACACGCCGGCTTGGGCGGGCGGCCCGGCGCCCCGGGGGCTCCTCGGCCCAGGGCCACTTCCGCAGAAGAAACAAACAAAATTACCACCACCACCACCACTACCAACAACAGCAACAACAATGGCGACACCAACAAGAACAGCCAGAACAGCAAGGACAACAATAAACAACAACCATAACGGCAACAGCAACAGCAACAACCATTGTAAGACTGTTCACTCGTGGCTGCTCGCGTGCTTGTCAAGGAGTAGATCCCAAACCCTCGGTACCCGCCCTCTTCGTCTTCGATCGTACCCCCCTGAGGGTGTACCGTCCTTACCTGCCGCGTGTACTGGGTGCAGCCCGTGAAACAAGGGAAGGGAAGACGGATGAAAGGGGGAGGGCGAAGGATGGAACTTAGCAGGGTGGGGGCTAGGAGCAGAAAACATGTGGCAGAGCCAGACAGGCCCATCGGGAGGTGGGCCGAAGCGGCCAGGTCGAGAAGGTGTGTTGCTGAAGCGTAAATACTGCATGAATCGCGAGGAGAGCTCTAGCGATAGCGCGATTACCAAGTAAATGATGAGAAAGGCCAAAGAGAGAGCGTGATTCCTGAGTGTCGGAGGACGCGGCGTCATAATAAATTGCGACGAGATCTCACGCGAGAGCGCGATTCCTGCATAACTTGTGGGGAAGTCTGGCGCGAGAGCGCGATGTTGGAATAACTTGTGAGGAAGTATCCCGCGGGAGCCGTTGTCGTTGTAGTTCGGGGCCCAGAGACGCAGTTTGGTGACCGCTAATTTCCTTTGTTTATTTATTTTTTTCGTTTAAAAAAGGGCTCGCCCCGGGAAAAGGGGACTAATTGAAAACATGCAATGGTTTCCGGAGGGGGGATCGACAATACTCATTCCCCAATTAGTGCTTGCACTGAAGGGGTCCTAGCGGATCTTGAAGGATTTGGCGAAAATGGGCGGCCGATTCCGGAATACCGCTGGGTTCCCCGGTCCCTGGTTCCAGGTTCCCGGATTCCTTGCGTTGCTGGGTCCGGGCCGATTTCTGTGGGCAGCGGGGTTCCTAGGTTTCCGGGCACCTGGGTTCTTGGTCGATCTCCTGATCAATCGGTCTCACCATCGATCTCATTACCCACCTCTCTATCCATCTCACTACCGATCTCACAATACATCTCACTATCGAAATCACAATCGACGTCGATGTCACTAGAGATCGCACAAGCGATCTCACGATCAATCTCTCTATCGATCGCACTGAATCGACTTCACTATTAGTCTCATGATCGACCATACTATCGTCCCCGCTATCGATCCCCACGATCGATCGCACGATGGACCGGACAATCGATCTCAACATCCGCATCACAAATTTCAAACCATCCACTGATTGGATTTTTCTCGTGTGCAGTTCTTTCGAAATTAGAACTGAACAGCGACAAGGGAACAGAGGCACGGGGACCCACGGCGATGTGAACCGAAACAATTTGAGCCGTTCGGACGCCTCTGTAGTAATGATTCCTGAGTCGCGAATCCTTACCACGAATCCTTCGTACGGAATCAAAAATAAGGTGTCTTTCATAAAGAACCCTGATTACAAAAATTAGGATTCCATACTCGGGAACTAACGAATCCCCAAGGAATCTGGATCCCTCCATTCGTTGGCCTTTGGGTCATAGTTCAGGTCTCTGGCGGCCGTTCGGGACCATTCGGGCAGCCCCAGAACGCCCTCGGCGAGGCGCGGTTGCATCCCGCGGCAGGGTCGCCTCCAGGAGCAGACCCAGACATGCGATGCCCTGATTTTGTCCATACGGGGACCTTCCCCCAGGGTTCTTTCTTCATCCCGAATAATTGTTTGACGGTCCTAGGGCCCTGCGAGGGCCCCCAGAGACAGAACTCAGCCGAAAGTCTCGTCCTCGCGTTTTACCAGCGCGGTCATGTCTAGGGACGACGACGCCCGAACACCTGAAGACTTCGAACTGGCGCGAGAGAGCGCCCCCGAGAAAGTCGGCTACACGCAAGAGTGACCCTGGGTAAGAGTGACCTGTGGTGCGCGTCTCTCTCTCGGGGAGCCGGGGAGGGGTCAGACCCAAGCGCGCAAGGCGCAACCATCGCATCGCCTTTGGCGATCGGGAGACCCGTGGGCCCGCACCGAGGGCCACTACAGCGGATGGCATCCGACATGATTCTTCCAGTCCGCTGCTCCAGAGCTCCCGACCCCTCCCCAGGGGGTAGTTTTGCGTCCCGGATCCACTTTGGGTAGCCTTAAGTCGGGCCTGTCCCCCTACAGCGGGATGTTCGACGAAAAATAAAAAAATACCCCCCAAATAAGCAAAACAAAATCCAAACATAGTCTGGGGACTATTGTTTGAGTATTTGTTTTACCTTTTTGGGTTATGTTGGGGGTATTTCTTATTCTTCGTCGAAAATCCCCCTGTAGGGGGACACGCCCGACATAAGGGTAGCCCCGGGGCCCGATAGCGCCCAGATTGCAACACAAAAGCACGCCGTCGGAGATCTGGGCCGCGCGCCCCCCGAGAGAAAAAGCAGGAGCCCGCGGAGGCGCCCGGAGAACGGCGCGACGCAGGCGCCGCGGACCCCCGCCCGCGAGGCCTCTCAGGAGCTGGCCGCGTCCGCGGCAGCCCCCTGGCCCCGGGGGGGGGGGGGGGGCGCCAGCTGCACGGAGATCCAACGCCTATTAGCCAGCCACGAACTTCCAGGGGGGTAGGGGGGAGGGGGGAAGGCTTCCTGGGAGGAGGCCGCCTCCTTGGCGGCGCGCACCGGGGGATGGGGGGGGCGGCGACGAAGCAATCGCCCTCCCCTTGTCCCCCTCTGCGCGTGGCCGGGAACGGTCCCTACCCCTGGGATTGACAAGCCCAAATTCGAGAGGGGGGGACGAAAAGGGTAGAATAGCAAAGGGCAGGGTCGGAAATCAGCTCACGTAGCTGGCTTTCCTGCGCCTCCTGGCGCCAGGAGGCGCACACGTATCAAGGAATTGGCACGGCGGCGGGGCGGAAGCCGGCTGCATGCAGTAGATGTCGTCATTCCCCCTTTCGCTGTCCTACGTTTTCGCCCAGCCCGACAAATTCGATGACAATCTTAGGGATGCGCCCTCAGAAACTGAGGGAATCATTCAGATCGGCACCCAAATCAGGCCATGCCAATCATGTGGACAAGGAGATGTTCCAGGCTTGTAAACGTCGTGGAAATCAGAACGGGAGGCGTTTGGTTGGTTTCGGCCTTTGGGGGCCCTCGCCGAGTTCCCAGAACTGTCCAGAAACGCTTCGCTGGATGAGAAGCCGGTCCCCAGGAGTGGGTCGAGACTTCCGGGGACCCCCTGCGAAAAACAGCAGACATTGGATCTCTGGGTATACACCCTGGGCGCAGGATTGGCCCGGCCAGGATCGGTGTGTTGGGAGGTAGCTGCTGGGACCTCTTCGTCAGAACGATTGTTTCCCGAGCGAGAGGCCATTGAACTGGGTTGCAGTCAACCCGTATAGTAAGGACGCGCGACAAGGATGGAAGGGCCTTGGAAGGCCATGTCGACACTTTGCGAGCGGGGCGCGGCCAGCGAAGGCGGCCAAGGATGCGCCGAGGAGAAGGATGCGAGGGTAACCTCGGAAAGTCGCTCATCCTCACTATGTGGGTTCACTGCAGGCCAGATGAAACTCGGGATGAAGCTAGCTCTCGACCAGGGATATGCCAGCACCGATCCTGGAGTTACCCCCCCCCCGCCCCCAGAGTTTCGCCCTGAGGGTGTCGAGGTGTGGCTGGTGCCCTGCGTCCTCGTGCTCGGGAGGCGCCGGCTATGCAGCTACTGGTGCAGCTGCAGCTGCAGCTGCTCGGGAGGGCGTGGGGTTGGGCTGCCCGTGCAGCTGCAGCGTCGTCTGGTGGACCTGCTCCTGGAGGCCGGGCGATCACGCGAGCCCCCCCGCCTTCCTCTCGGCCGCGAGCGAGGGGGGGCAGCGAGAGGGTGAAGGCCTTCTCAGACGGCGGAAGTACTTCTCAGCAGCCCTCTGGCCTTGTGTTCGCGTCTTCGGGAAAGGCTCAGAGAACTTCGCAGAGGGCCGGGGGAAGTGCAAACCTTCGAGGAAGGCCCGCCTCTTCGCACTTCCCCCCCGTCGCCCACCGCCTGCCTCCCCCCTGCCCCATCCATGTGTCGCCGCGCCGTTGGTTCTCGACGCGCCCGAGTGGACGACGCGGGCACCACGGCAAACCCACGGCAAGCCCTGCGCCCCGCGCCCCAGGCAGACGACGCCGGCACTGTGGCGCCCGAGGCGGCGTTTTCCCTGGTGCCCGAGGCGCCCGCCCCAAGACGGAAAACCGCGCGTCAGAACACACGGTGCGGCGACGTGTGTTTGCACTGGGGGAGAAGACTTGCCAGCGCTCGGACGTCCATTCCCGGTGCGTTCTTAGGTGTCGTGCCTTCCTTTGTGATTCAAGAGGGTCCAGGATGCTCCTCGATGGTCCTCGCCGAGGAAAGAATTCACATGTCCGAGCGATGCCCAGAGGATGAAAGGGGGAGGAGGAGGATGATGATGAGGGAGGAAAGGAGGACATGGCGACCGATCCATCGGACACCGCCTCTCTCCTCCCTCCCCCATCAATTTGTTTGTGTGGGGAGGGGAGGAAGAAGAGGAAAGAGGAGGAGGAGGAGGAGGAGGGAGGGACGGAGGAGACGGCGACCAATCCATCGGACACCGCCTCCCTCCTCCCCCCCCATCAATTTGTTTGTGTGGGGAGGGGAGGAAGAAGAGGAAAGAAAGAGGAGGAGAATGAGCAGAAGCAGCGAGGGAAGGAGGAGACGGCGACTAATCCATCGGACATCCACCCAGACGTGATCGCGTGCCAATATTACCCGAGGCGTACCAAATCCTTGTCCACGCGAAGCGAATCTTTTGATCAACTCTCCATCCACAAGACCACATCGCCAGATATGCACGATGTGCGCTGCCATGCACTCTGCTGTGACTCCCAGGAGTCCACGAACGTGGCGAATTGCGCATTTCCCAGCCCCCGACGGGGAGTCGCGACGTCTCAAATGGACCCACGCTGCCCTGCACTGCACTCGGCCGTGCCTCCAAGGAGCCCCCGAAAGTGGCGACGGTTACGCAATTCGCAGCCCCCCATAGAGCCGCGACGTCTCAAATGGATCCCTGCTGCCCTGCACTCCGCCGTGCCTCCCAGGGGCCCCCGAAAGTGGGCGACGGCTGCGCAGTTCGCAGCCCCCGACGGAGCCGCGAGGTCTCAGCTGGATAGCGTGTCGCTCCGCTCCGCGGGGCGGAAGGTCTGGAAACAACGCTTAGGACGTTGACGTTCTGGGACTGGGACGTAAGCGGCGTGTCGCTCCGGGGCGAGGGCGGTACGCGGCGCGCGCGCCCCCCGCCTGCTGACGTGGCTCGCCCTGCCCTCGCGTGAGGCTGCCGCCCCACTCCTCGCCCTCGGTCCAGGCACGCGCTGCAGTCAACCCGCATGAGAAAGACTCACGAGAAGGATACTTCCGGGGACTCCGTGAGGACAACATCAGAAACGTATAATTACGTCCTGGGCCCAGGACTGGCCCGGCCAGGATCGGTGCGTCGGGAGGCAACTGCGCAACTGCTGGAACATCGTCGTCAGAACGACCGTAGCCCGAGCGAGGGGCCATTGAACTGGATTGCAGTCAACTCGTACAGCAAGGACGCGCGATAAGGATGCAAGTGCCTTGGAAGGCCACACCACCACTTTGCGAGCGGGGCGCCGCCAGCGAAAGCGGCCAAGGATGGGCCGAAAGGGGAAGGATGCAAGGGCAACCTTGGAAAATTGCTCATCGTCATCCTTACTATGCGGGTTGACTCTAACCCGGGTCAGCACAAGCCCGGGTCGGCCAGGGCCCTGTCGCGACGGCCTGCCGCCTAGTGGCTCACGACGCCGGGCCAGCGGAGGCCGGAAAGGGGGAATCGGCCCCGCGTGGTTGCCAGACCCGGGTCGGCCAGAGCGGGGTGGCGGACCCCCGTCACGCGAGCCCCGATCTGGCACTACACCCTGCGAAATGCTTAAGAAACCATGGGTTAAGAAATTCAGAGTCTCAGAACTGGAATAAAAACCCAGAACTTCTATCAAAATCTTGGGATTTACATTGACAAGTTAAAAATAATCAAGACTCTGGCCGAAAACTTAGGTTTTCTTAAGCATCGCCTAAGGTGTATGTGGGCGTCGCTGGGAGGCTCCTCCATGTCGGCCTTCTCGAGCTCGAGCGCCTGGATGGCAGCTGCCACGGCCCTTCGTCCACCCCCCCCCCTGTGCTCCCCGACCCCTCGGGGAGCGGGGCTCGAACGTTCTTGGGCGAGCCCCGTGGGGGCCTCCTCCTCCTCCTCCTCCTCCTCCTCCGCTTCCTTCGCTTCCTCGTCCTCCCCCTCCTCCTCCTCCCCCTCCTCCTCCTCCTCCTCCTCCTCCTCCTCCTCCTCCTCCTCCTCCTCCTGCTCCTACTCTCTTCCTCCTCCCTCCGCCTCCTGTTCTGCCTCCCTCTCTGCTTTGCCTGGAGACCATCAGAACTCTTGAGAACTACATCGATACCACTGAGAGAACGCATTTCACGGGCGCTTGCTTTGGCAACATTCGGCGGCGCGTTTCGAACCGGGGGGTGACCCCCCCAAACACTCGGCGCCGTCGATCAAAACCGGGGGACTCGCCTCCCCCCCCAGGCCCCCCCCCTCTCGAACTCCCCCCCCCTCCCAAGGGGGAGGGGGGGGGAACAAGACTCCCCCCCCCTCGGCGCCGGCGCCAGCGCTGGCGGCCGCCAGCAGCGCTGACGGCGGGGACGCAGCGACGATGACCAGAGGCAGCCCCAGGGGGGGTTCAAAACCCCCCCCCTCCCCCCCCATGGCGCCGGAGGGGTGGGGTGGTCCAACCCCCCCCCACCCCACCCCCTGGCGCCGGCGCCGGCGCTGGCGGCGGCCAGCAGCGCCGGCGCTGGCGCCGGCGACGGCGAGGATGCAGCGACGATTGACACCACTACCACCATCACCACTACCACCACCACCACCACCGCCTCAACCCACGACCACCACCACCACCAACCCACCACACAACCACCACCACCACAGCCACCAATGAACCACACAACCACCACCACCACCACAACTCACCATCACCACCGCCACCACCACAAAAACCCACCACCACTACCACCACCACCACAATCTACCACACCACCACCACCGCCACCACCACCACCACTGCCAGCAGCGCAACCCACCGCCACCACCATGACAAACCACCGCACGACCACCACCACCGCCACCACCACCACCTGCACCACCTCCACAAACCACCGCTACCACCACAACCCACTACCACCACCACCACCACCACCACCACCACCACCACCACCACCACCACTTCATCACACCACCACCACCCACTACTACACCATCACCACCACCACCACAAAAAACCCACCACTACCACCACCACCACACCACCACATCTACCACCACCACCACCACACCACACCACCACCACCACCACCACCACCACTTGCAGCACAACCCACCACCACCACAAACCATCACACCACCATCACCGCCACCACCACCACCACCACCACCTCCACAAACCACCGCCACCACCACAACCCACCACCACATCCACAAACCACCACCACACCACAATCGAGCCACCACCACCACTACCACAACCCACCACCACTACCACCATCACCACAAACCACCACCACACCACCACTCAATCACCACCACCATTATCACTGCTCACTAAGATAACCATCACCACCATAACGAACCACCACACCACCACCACAACCACCCGCCACCACCACCACCACAACCCACCTCCACCACCACCACCACCACCACCACCGTCGTTCTCGTCGACGCTCCCCGCCGCCGCCGCCCGCCGCCGCAGGCGCCGGCGCCGGATCAGGAAAGGAAAGCGTCGTCCCCGCCGCCGCCGCCAGCCGCCGCAAGCGCCGGCCCGAGGAGAGGGGAAGCAGGGAAGGAAGGGGCGGGGTTCGAACCCCCTCCCCCCTCCGTCACGGAGGGGGGGATCGAACCCCCCCCCTCCATCTCGGGGGGGGGGGGGGGTCCAGTTCCAGACCCCCCCCTTCCTCCAAGCGACCACAGAACGCGCTCTTTCATACCACTGGAACCGATTTGAAATCCGTTCGAATATCTCTCATCCTCACGACCCCTCGCTCCGACTCCCGCAGCATGTGGGGGCACATTTTCCTGGAAGGGTCGTCCACGCGGGGAGTGGTGTGTGCGTCTGGCTACTTGATGTCGATGACAGTCTAGGACTATTGCCCTCAGACCCCACAGGCTGGAGAGTTCACGGCCTATGCGATGGCTTGCGTTGTGGCGTCAAGCCCCACTCAGCTCTGTTCTGACAATGCCAGGAATGTCAGTATGAACAGTCTGCCTCCAAGCTTACAGCTCTCGCCAAAGCGTCCTTATGCGGGGCTGGTCTTGCAGGGTATGTCTCGAGGCGGCAGGAATATTCTCGGGTGTGTGAAGGTTCGCGCGCATCCGGCCCTCGACGATCCTGACATCGACGAGGCCGAGCGCTACAGGCGTGTCGGGAACGACGCGGCTGACCGCGCTGCGATGCTAGGTGCTGATATGCACCCTCAGCCCTCGGAGGAGACGATCGCCTCCGTCGGCCCAACTGTCGAGTGCGCTCAGTACGGTGTGCGCCGTGCTGCCTCTATTTTGCCTCTCTGGCCCCGCATCGACCCGTCGGGGGTGGAGAGGCACGCCAATTGTACCCAGGCTCCTTGAGAGGTCCCTCCGCCCCTACCAGTGGTTGTGGATGGAGCCTCCGTCTGGATCCCAACGTTTTTGGCAGTGCCAGGTGTGCTGGCGTTCCTCCAGGAGCGAGGCCCTCGTCGAGCCCTCCACCTCCCAGGGTCACTGCAAGCAGGCCAAACGGACTTGCGTTCAAACCTTGAGGGACCTCAACCCCAACTATGTTTTGTTTGACTGTTCCAACGACTCGCTCGTTGTCGTGTGCACAGCATGCACATGCTATTCGTCTGGAGCTCGCCTAGCAAAGTTGGGTGAGCAGTGTACTGGCCCTCGTCTGGACCCTCGGACGGGTAAGAGCAAGTCGCGGAGTCACTCTGCTCTGCTTTCTGACACTATTAATGTGCTTGAAGCACGCAGCGCAGTGGTCGTGCTAATCAAACGAACTATTTTCTCTTTTCTCATCCTGCCCTCCTCCGCCCTCCCCCTTCTCTCAAGCCTCCCCCTTCCTTGCAAATCTCACTCCGCCCCTTCACCCCTCTTCTTGCTCCTACCTCCTCCTCCTCCTCCTTCTCCTCCTCTTCCCTTGCTCCCTCCACCTCCCTCCTCCCTCCCCCTCTCAAGCTCGAGAGCCTGGACTGCAGTCTCCATGGCCCCGACGATGATACCCACGGGGATGGAGAACAGGGCGATCCTTGGCGGTGCGCAACAGCAAAACGACGGCATCGGCAAGCTGAGACCCAGCAGGCGTCACGGGGAAACATCGAGACGGTTAGTTCTTCAACGTGTTGGGCCTCTGGAGGCGAGTTTCGTTGCGGGGCCCCCGACCACCAACCAAGGGGAGCAACAAACGTGGGGCAGCCGGGCGGGACCTGATGGGGTGGGGCAACCATAAAACAGGGCTAGGATCGGGATAAATCGCTCCAGAGCGTTCCGGAGCGCTCTCAGAGCGTTCCAGAACGCTCTGGAGCGGCCGTGGCGCCCAATACATCCTCCAAACCCGCCGATTCTCAGAGATTTCGAGTTATCCCGATCCGATGTTGTCCCGATCTTCGCGTCGTTTGAAACCAACGCGGGGGAAGTCAGGCTCCTGAAAAGTGGCCCAGACGCGTGCTGCCAAAGGTAGCGCTGAAGGAGCAACGAAGGGGCGCTCCTGGCCCCGGCGAGCCTCGGCCACGGGTAGGTTTTCTCCGAGATCTAGAGAACGGCCTGGAAACCAGAGCCCCTCCCGAGCCCAAGGTGATCCTTATATCCACGCCCTGGCTGCAAAGGGCCCCCCGTTTGTCGGCGCGCTGAGGGGGTAGGGGCAGGGAGGAAGGCGTCTTAGATCTTAGAGGGAGGCTGCTTCTTGGAAGGTGCCGGACCTGCGTCTATGGACAAGGCTCGCGCCCTGGAATAAGCAGCCAACTTCTGAGAAGCCTTCCCCCACCCCCCTGCCCCCATCTGCGCGCGTACTGCCACCCAGACCCCAAACAGATGCTGGACACAAAAGGGCGCACTTCCTCGCCCCACGCCTGCTCCCCCACGACCCACGCCGGGCCGAGAGACGCCCTGGTGAGAGACCGCTCCCGGGGAACTCGCCGTCGCTCGGGCGGCCCGTGCTCCTCTGCCCAAGCGAGCCAAGCGGTGGCCCACGGCGTCCGAGAAACCGTGACACTTCGGAGACTTCCCTGGTGGGAGGGACGGGCGCCTCCCTGGGCAAAGGGGGTGCACGGTGGCAGCTCCTGTGAAGCAGCCTCTGTGGGCACGGCTCGGACCTATGGGCCGGCGTCGCGCCCAACTCGTCGCATCGCTCGGGCGTCCACTTCCCGTGCCTTCGTCAGTGTCGTGCGCGATTCTTTTCGCAAGGTGATCCGGGAGCGCGTTGTTTCTTTATCGCTTGGGGCACAACAGGCGTTATCGTCCACGGCCGCTCCCCTATAACGTAACGCCCCCCCCCCCCAGCGCGCCACGGGCATTACCGCCGTGCGCATCGGGATCCGCAAGGGAGCCTGTTTTCTTATTCCGGGCCGATGGCGGCCATCATCTGGGAGGGGGGATGACGTCAAGTTCCGCGCCAGCTGCGTCTGGGAATGCTCAGGAATGACCGAGGACGGGTGGCAGGAACATGTAAGTGGCCATCTGCACCACTGCGCCCGTGTACACCATAGTGCCTGCGTGCACCACAGCGCCAGTGTAGATGTGTACCCCACACCGCTTATGTACACCACAGCAGCCGCGTGCAACACAGCGCCAGTGCATGCCAGTGCCTGCGTGCACCACGCTTGTGTACACCACAGCGCCTGCGTACACCACATCGCCCGTGTGCAACACAGCACCAGTGTACACCACAGTGCCCGCGTGCACTACAGCGCCTGTGTACACCACGGTGCCTGTGTGCACCACAGCAACCGTGCGCAACAGAGCACCATTGCATATATATATATATATATATATGTATTGTTGAAGAAATCCTTCTGACAAGATGGAGCGCCTGTGCAGTCCATAGCAAGGAACTGTTTTATATCCGCCGACCTTGTCGGCGTGTGAGAGGGGCGTGGCTGTTCGAGTCGTCGTCTCCGTCAGTCGTCGTCTCCGTCGTCACCGTTTCCTGCGCCCTCCTCCTCAAACTTATCAGCGAAAGAACAATCTAGCAATGTCGTAATCGAGTCGAAGGGAAGCCCGTTGCCTTTGATCCCTTCCCCGCGCCAGGGGGGGCCCAGGGGGGGTCGCCACCCTGATGCGTTTCCCCCCCCTTCCTGGGTGCCCTGGGGCTTCAGAAAGTACCAAGGCAGGCCAAGAGTGTCCCGAGAGGCCGCCGAGACGGTCCAACAGGATCCCGAATCGCCAAACGATCGGTCCGAAACGCCTTCACGCCCTCCAGACTGCTCAGGAGGCCTCGAGGACGCCCCAAGACGCCTCCAAGAGCACTCCCCGAGAGGCCAAATTCATTGACTTTCGGTGGTTATTTTTAGAGAGGCCACCACGACCCCCCCCAGACGGCCCAGAGCCCTCCAAGAATGCGCCAAAACAGCCCAACAGGACCCCAACACACCTCCAAACGCTTCCAACACGGCCCCAAACGCCCCCAAGACGGCTCCAAGAACGTGCCAGGACGGAGTGCCCGAACGGACATTTCGAGCCCTCGGCCCCAAGAGGCTCCCAGGAGGCCCCTACGAGGTTCCCCAGAGGCCCAAGAGGCCCACCCACAAGAGGTCCCCAGGAAGCCCGAGGAGGCCCCTAAGAGGCTCCAAAGAGGCCCCCAAAGAGGCTCCCAAGAGGCCCCAAAATTCCTCCCCAGAGGCCCCCGAGAGACTTCAGAAGAGACCCCACGAACCGTCCCTGAGAACTCTGGCCCATGTCAGCGTCTTCGTCGTTGCCGCCGCCGCCGTTCTCGTCGTCGTCGTCGTCGTCGTCGTCGTCGTTGTCGTCGTCGTCGTCGTCGTCGTCGTCGTCGTCGTCGTCGTCGTCGTCGTCGTCGTCGTCGTCGTCGTCGTCGTCGTCGTCGTCGTCGTCGTCGTCGTCGTCCTCATTCTACGAGTGCTCCCGAGCCCTCCCGCATCATGCTAACTCCTCCCATCTGCGTCTAGAAGGCTCCCGCAGAAGTGGCCGTCCGAGAACCAAGTGGACTGATTCAATAGACCGTTCTGCGGTGCACGCTGAGATGCGCACGTGCGCTGTACGCACGACGGGGGAAAGGGTGAGGGCGGAGGAGGAGGAGGAGGAGGAGGAGGAGGAGGAAGAGGAGGAGGGGATGATGATGAGGAGGAGCAAGAGGAGGAGATGCAGGAGGAGGTGGAGGAGGAGGGGGGAGGGAAGAATATCGCACTCTATTATCAGCACCTCCTTGTCGTGATGTGTAGCTGTCCGCAGCCTATCCTCACCCATATGCTCCTTCTCCCTGTCCGTTGCACGCAGGCGGTGTGATGTATACCAGCGCTGCGTTGCACGCGGATGCTGTGGTGTACACAGGCGCTGTGGTGTGCGCAGGCGCTGCGGTGCACACAAGCATTGTGGTGTACACAGGCGCTGTGCTGGAAATTGTTGCTGCGATGTACACCTTCGCTGTGGTGTACACAAGCGCTGTGTTGCATGCGAGCACTGTGGTGTGCACAGGCGCTGCGTTGCACACGGCTGTTGCGGTGTACACAGGCGCTGTGTTGTACACGAGCGCAGCGGTGCACGCGAGCACTGTGGTGTACTCTGGCGCTGTGGTGCAGATCGCCACCTACATGCTGCTCCTACTTGGCCTCGGTCGTCCCTGGGCATTCCCAGATGCCCCTGGCGCGGAGCGTGACATTATCTGGAGGTGGGGGCGGGGCCGATGACGGCCTTATCCCGGAACCAAAAAACAAGCTCTAGGCGTTCCCATCGGAATCCTCATAGGGGTGTGGTGTGCATTGGGAATCTCATGGGGATCCGCATAGGGATGCGCATGCGCATCCGCATACGGTTCCGCATAGGGATCCGCGTAAGGATCCGCATGGGGATTCGCATGGCAATGCACATGGGCATCCGTACAGGCATCCGCATCGGGATCCGCATCGGGATCCGCATAAGCATCCGCATTTGGATCCGCGCCTAAGGATCCGCATAGGGATCCGCACAGGGATCCGCACTGGGATCCCCATAGGCAAAGGGATCCGCACTGGGAGGTGCACGCAGGCCTTGTGGTGCGCACAGGCTCTGTGGTGCACGCAGATGGTGCTGAACTGGTCGTGGCTCGTGGCCCCTGGTCGTGGCTCGTGCGCACAGGCGCTGTGGTGCACGCGGAAGCGCTACTATTTTACCTACCCCCCTCGTCGTCGTCGTCGTCGTCGTCGTCGTCGTCGTCGTCGTCGTCGTCGTCGTCGTCGTCGTCGTCGTCGTCGTCGTCGTCGTCGTCGTCGTCGTCGTCGTCGTGGTCGTCGTCGTCGACGTCGTGGTCGTGGTCGTGGTCGTCGACGTCGTGGTCGTGGTCGTGGTCGTCGTCGTCGTCGTCGCCGTCGCCGTCGCTCGTCGCTCGTCGCTCATCGTCGTCGTGGGCGCGGGCGCGGCTGTGGTGCCGGAGCCACACGGGGGGGGAGCATTACGTTATTTCCCCCCCCGCCCCCCACATAACGCCCATTACCGCCGCGAATTAAGAAATGCGCTCCAGGATGCTCCTCGATCGGCCTCGCAAAGAAAAAACGCACGCGTCCGAGCGATGGCAACTCCTGGACCGCCTGCGTGGGCACGACTCGGACCCCTATTGATCGGCGGCGCGCCCAAAGGGGGAAGGCTTACCCACCGGACCACCCCAACCCAACCGCAGACCCAAATTTCGGGTAGGGGGGGTATGAGTTCCACACGTGCTTTCCCAATGTTCCCCGGATCCCACCCCCCTGGGAATGCAGAGCAAATTGGGGCCTTCGGGGTGGGTTGGGGTGGTTTGCTGGGTGGTGAGGGAAGGCTTGGGGAGCAGGCCTTCCAAGTGGGCTCCGATGGCCCAAAATCCAGGGATTTCTGACACCGAAGACGAGCTCGACCTCCCAGGAGTGGAAGGCAGATGACCTCCCGGGAGAGATCGACCACGACGAGGGCTGGGTGCGGTGCCAGAGCGGGTGCAGATCCCTCGGAGCCCTTCGCAGCGCACGAGCCCAAGAGCCCAGAGGATGTCTGGGTGTTGCCCGGGGCTCGACCTGTTCAGAGCGTTTCCCGTTGGCGCTGTGTTTTTTCGGATCTCCCTCGCTCTGCCCTCGCTCCGCCGTGGCCGCAAGTCGAGAACGTAACGGAAGAACGGTCCACGACTGATGGGCGCATTTTCCACCACCGCTACCATAGGTAGGACGGCCTTCTGCTCCTCCTCCTCCTCCTCCTCCTCCTCCTCCTCCTCCTCCTCCTCCTACTCCCCCTCCTCCTCTTTCCTCTCCTACCCATGGTGGTGGTAGTGGAAATTCGGCCCATCAACGACGTCGCCGGCACACCGTTCATTTCGAGCCCCGGTGTTGCCCCAGGCGTCCCTTCCCCAGGAGATGCCCCCAGATACTCGCGCCCCACTCCGAGGGCCCTGGGGCCCTCGGAGCCTCCTGGGGGAGGCTACAGGGCAGTTTTGAATACATGGGATCGTCTCTCAAGTAAAATTTTATAATACATGACTGATGTAGATGAATGAATGAATGTATGCATGAACTCATCGTTGTTTCTAATGCTAAATCCCTGCATGCTTAATACGTGATCCGCACGCGGAGCATGTATTAACAACGGCACTGTATGCTCTGGGGGCCACCTGTGCGATCCGGGGAGCCCTGATCGGCGGCGAGCGAAAGGGGGGAAGCGAGAAGACGAAGGCCTTCTCGGAAGGCGGCAGGGCTTCTCGGAAGCCATCGGGCCGTCTGAGAAGTCTTCTGTGTCTTCGGGGAAGGCTCAGAAAACTTCTCAACTTCTCAGGAGCGCGTTTCTTTATTTTCAGCGATACTGGGCATTACAGGGGGGGGGGGGAGGGCCAGGGGGGGGGGTATAAAGTATCGCCTCCCCCCCGCCGTGCGCGCGGTGGTGCCCGGAGCGCACTGGGGGTGGAGGGGCGTTACGTTATAAGGCGGGGGGGTGGGAGGGGGGGCCGGGGGCTATAATTCCCAGTATGCCCCAAGCAATAAAGAAACACGCTCCAGAAGGCTCGGAAGAGGCCCGCCCCCTCCTCACTTCCCCCTCGGGCGCGCCGCCTACTAGGGGATCGTGTGGACAGAACGCCGTTCAGCAAAGCGCCCTTTTGTGAAAGCTGCCAGTGGCATATGGCACCGCCTTCCGAGTGACCCCCAGCGGGGCAAATCACTGACATTCACGAACGACCGACAGGATCTGGCGAGACGGACGTCGATTCGTGAACCCGACCGGCTGCGGACTGCAGCGGCGCCCTCGGATGCCAATGTCAAGTGTACCAGGGCAGATGTCCTAACTTTTTGATTGGCGGCTCCAAGGACAGATCCAGGAAGCGGGACGGACTCGGCTGGGGCACAGGGCGAGATAATTAGCTGCAGAGGCGCATAGGCCACGGCAGCAGATGCACGTGCCAGGGACAACAGATGTCCTAACGCGACGCGTCCAAAAACGGGCCAGGGGTGGGGTCGAAAGGGGCGACCCCGGCCGGAGACGTGGCCCCCGGGGGAGAGCTCCTGGGTCCGGGGCCCGCCTCCTTCTAGCGCCCCTCCCCTGCAGCACCCGACGCTCGTCTCCGCATGGGGGGGAGCGTCGGGTTGGCGCGCGCCGCCGAGGTCCCAAAGACGACGTACAGTATGCAGAGCCTGGAGCCCGCGTAGGTGAAGTCGACGTTCGCCCACTCGCCGGTCAGGTAGATGCAGCACCAGTACATCGTCGCGGGCACCGAGGTCATGTTCTCCGCCTCGCCGCCCTCCTCCTTTGAAAACGAGCGCGTCCCACTACTCGCAGAGTAGCTGCTCGCAAATGGCCCTGGATCCCCCGCGGAGGATCTACGATACATTACATCGAAGCAGACATGTTTTTATCGGACGTCTGCGAGTAGGCACTCTAGGAGTCGTGGCACGCGCGCGGTGACTTCGGCCGGCGCGCACGCCGGACGCGGCGCGAGGGGCGCGGCCTCTCCCCGGAAGCCCCGGGGGGGGAGGGGGAGGCCTCGAAGAAGGCCTGCTCGGGTCGGGCGAACGGGGGGATAGGAAAGGGGGGGTTTGAGAATCAGCTCACGTAGCTGATTTTCCCGGCGCCTCCCGGCGCCGGAGGCGGCTATGTATCGAGGAATGGGCCCCTCGGTGGGGCCGAAACCAGCTGCATGCAGCAGATTTCGTAACCCCCCCTTTCCCAATCCCCCCCTTTCGCCCGGCCCGACATGCGGGGGCGGGGGGGCCCCCGAAGACCCTGCACCCCACAGATGCTGCCGGCTCCTCGCCACCGCTCGGAAGTCCCTTCCCTGTGCGTGTGGCGGTGTCGTGCGTGCTCCCTTCTCCGGCTGCTCCTCGAGGGCCCTCGCCGAGAGGGAAGGCGCACACGTCCGAGCGCTGCCGGGCCTCTCGTGGGGCCGAGCCTGGCTGCCGCTGGCCTCAGGCCAGCGGGGCCGCCCCCCCTGCGCGCCGCCCCCCGTGCGTGTTACGCCCTGCGAGATGCTCAAGAAATCATGGGTTAAGAAATTCATAGCCTCAGATCTTGAATCAAAACCAACATGAAGGGGCCCCAGGACACACAAATAAATACACACAAATAAAAATACTCCCCATATTTTCCCATATTTTCTGGGTTATTGTCTTCCCCCCCACTTCCCATATTTTCCCATATTTTCTGGGAAATCAACGATTAATTGTGTCTGTGTGTTTCTTTCCCTCCTGAAATTCATAGCCTCAGATCTTGAATCAAAACCAACAGTTCTATCAAAAACTTAGGATTTACATGGAAACGTTAAGAATCATCGAGACTCCGGCCGAAAACTCAGGCTTTCTTAAGCATCGCCCAAGGTGTATGCCGGAGGAGCCTTGTAGTAGTTCTCGAGCCACATGAAGAGGGCGGAGGACGTGACCCAGACGTTGAGCGCCAGGTATCCCGGGATGGTTCGGTGGCAACTCGTGGGAGCCCCCCTCGGCGGCGCACCCAGGGGGGGGGGAGCGAAACGGAGAGGGCCCTCTCAGAAGGCGGCGGAGGCCTTCTGAGAGGCTTGCTGCGTCTTCGGGGAAGTCTTAGACAACTTCTCAGTCGGCTGGGGGACGTCCGAGCCTTCTGAGAAGGCCCGCCCCTTCTCACTTCCCCCCGGGCTTGCCGCCGAATATCATATTGCTGGCTCCTGCGAACCGACGCTAATCGACGCTAGTGGACGCTAATTCGACGCTAATCGTCGCTAGTCGACGACGCTAGATCGGTGCTATCTCATCGATTAACAGACGCTGATATACGCAAGTGCCATCTTACTACTGAATTGCGAGGGTATACAGGCCCCATGATTTGATACCGAAATATGGCCAGCTGGGGGGCAGCCTCCTCGAGCGTCCTCAATATCATCGTCACCTCGCGCCGGATGACGGAGAAATTCAGGATGCGCACGACACGTACGACCAGGAGTGCCTCGAACACGTCGTCCAAGTAGCCGTTCCTCTCACCCTGCACGCCGAGGGACTGCTGCGCGCTGTAGGCGATCTCGAACATACCAGGGAGGATGCAGATGATCTCGATGATGCGCCAATAAGAGAACCGGGGGGTGGCGATGAAATGCATCATGCACTCGAAGGTGAATGCGATTGTGCAACCCATCTCCAGCCACAAGAGCGCGCTCCCAACTCTTCCCCCTCCGTGCCTGTTCCACTCAGGGAGGGAGGAGAAAAGAGTGCAGAGCAGGTTGAAGCACAGCAAGCAGTTGAAGAGTACAGACAGCTTCCCGAAGGTGCACTCCAAGGCAACCTTCTTCCAGAATGAAGCCTGTGGCCTTGGCCTGGGTTGAGGCATTTGCCCCTGGGTTGCTTCTTCATCCCTGATCGCCTTTGAAGCACGGAACCTGCGCTGAATTGCCTTGGTCGATCTCATGACCACTATGGCACGGCGGAGACGCAGTTCGGCCAGCTCCTCTTGCCGCTCGTCTCGAAGGTAGTCGTTGAAGCCTGCGATGAAGACGCCTGCGAAGCTTGAAATGATAGCTATGCCGACCATGATCCCGAAGAAGTGCACGCACTTGGAGGAAAGCGAGTAGTCTGACTCTGGGAAGTCCCCGAAGAGATGGACAATGCTGTACTGAAGGGCTCGCGGGATGCTCGCGTAGCGGTCGGCCATGGTCAGCTCGGCGTCGTCGTCATCGTCGCCGCCGTCAGCGCCGTCGTCGTCAGGCTGGCGAAGACCACGGTGAGCAGCGAACAAGCTCCGATTCTGTTGCGCGAAGCTGCTCGAAACATTCTCGAAGGCCTCTGCTGGCTCGACCACGGCACTCGCGTCGTTGTGCTCGAACATGTAGAGGAGCGTCGCGTGGATAAGCCAGCACGCGACAAGCCCACCACCGCTCCTAGAGGAAAAAGCAGCTGCACAAATCTGAACTTTCGAAGCCCCGCGCGGATTTCTTGGACCTGCGCTGAGCTCCCACCTCCCCTGGCGCGCGGAGCGCGCCAGGGGGCGGCGTCGGTGACTACCTACCAGACCACCCCAACCCGACCAGATGACCCGAATTTCGGGTTGGGGGGGGTGCGGGTTCCATATGTGTTTTCTCGATGTTCCCCGACCCCCTCCCACTGGAAATGGAGGTCAATTTGAGGCCTCTGGGTTGGGTTGGGGTGGTTTGGTGGGTGGTGAGTCGGAGGTGCCGCCAGGGAAGGCCCAGCGCCGATCCGAGAACTCCGCGTGGCACTCAGGAAACGCATGTGCATGCAACTGTATGTCTTCCGAGCTCCGAATGAGCGGCTTGCGGTTGAGCCATACCACATTCTTCAGGACGTGCAGGGCGGCGAAGTACGACTCCAGGGAGAAGAGGCAGAGCAGCCGGAAGAGCACCATGCAGTCGTCTGCCATGCCGGTGAGGCCCACGTCGCGGCGGTACGTTGGATGGAATGCCGACTCGCGGAAATCAGGGGCCAGGGTCATGGCGAGAGCGACCAGCGAGATAACATCGCAGATCCCTGTAAACGTATAGGCATGCTGCATGTCCGTTGCAACAAGCCGACATCCCAGCGCGCACAAGAATAGACCGAAGGCGAGGCAATCGATGATGAAGCCGGAACGCCACAAAGTGGGATACCACTCGCCCATTGTCTCCATCTTGAGAGTCATTACAAGAGTTACCATCGTAGTCGCGAGGGTCGTGGTTATCAAAACGCCGCGAATGATGCGATACGCCAGTGTGAGCGTGCCCCCGGGTTTCACATGGAGGTGTTCGTAGAATAGGTCATAGATCAATTGCTGCGTCTCCTCCTCTGGCCGGCAGTGCTTTTGCCAAGGATCCCGATTGAACATCTTGTCCTCCGCGGTCCTGTCGGCCATGATGGCGCGCGAGAACCCGTTGCCAAAAATCGTTATCGGCACACAGAAGATCATGATGCTGAACAGCGCGATGAAACATCCGACGCCCTTGCCCCTGGCTGTGTAATCTGCCCAAGGCCATTCTCCATGGAGGTTGATGATCTCCGCCCAGAGCGACCGCATGAGGGACCCATAAGTGTCCTGCATCTCCTCATCCGGACTGTCGCGCTCCGTGGCATAGAGGAGTGTGGAAAACACCATCCACATGATGCTGGATAGAAGGAGCGTCGCACTCAGGAGCGAAGCACTTTCCCATGCAATCTTGAACATTGTGCGGAACGACTCTACGTAACGCTCGATCTTGAGGACCCGGAGAACGATCGCCGCACAGAGCCATGGGCCAACCTGCAAGCTGTCCAGATAGAGACTCAAATGTGCAATCCCTGGTGCCCAAGCCACGAGATCGACGACGCCCAAGATCGACACGATGTAGGAAGGGCCGTTGAGAAAGATTCGCCAGAGCCATTCCATCATGAAAACGGCTGCCACCGTGCCATCAATGGTGGCGAAGGTCGAGTCGGACACATGCACTGGCACAGTGAAGACAGTCGAGTGTGTCGTGTTTCTCGCTGTCCATAGGAAATATGTAAAGATCGAACCAAACGCCAGGATGGCAGTCGAGATGCCTCCGTAGGAGCTGCACACATTTCGGGGTGGCTGCGGGTCTGGCGCGTCAGCACTCTCAGCCGCCAGCTCCTCCTTACCATCGTGAGGAAAGAGCGCTGCCTGCAGTACAGACGTTGGTAGTGCGAATATTGGCATCGCGAAGATGCAGACCAGGCACACGTTGAATCGTTGGAAGAAGGTCACGTGGGCATCAGCAAGGGGGTGCTCCTTGCACAAATCCGCCACCGTGCCGCTGGGCACCGAGTGGACGTGTCCTCAGGTCCTTTGCCTGAACTGATCGGACAAGAGCGGAAAGCGCCGATGTTGTCCGTTGGGCTCGTAGAGGAGAAAAGCAAAAAGGATGATGGCGACGACAAGGCGGCGGATGTCGAGGATGGCAGCGTGGATGACGGGGAGGGCAGCGAGGGGGGCAGAAGGACAACGAGTAGGAGGACAAGCGCGAGGACAAAACACAGATGGAGGCGTACGAGTACGAAGAGGAAAGAAGTGGAGGCGGAGAAGGAGGAGGAGAAGAAGAAGGACGACGACGACAACGACGAAGGACGGTGAGGCGCCCGACGAAAAGGACGTCGAAAAAGAGAGAGGGACCCTCGTGATCTTCTGAGGGTGCTCTGTGGGCTGTTGAGCCTATTGGTGGCTACTGGGGTCTTCTTGGGCTGCCTGGGCATGCCTTAGGATTCTGCGGGGGCTCTCTCGGGCCATCTTGGGCTGCCTTGGGGCCCTCTTGGGGCCCCCTTGGGCAGTCCCAGGGCCTCTTCGTGCGCTCTTGGGGGCCTCGTGGGCGGCTCTTGGGGGCCTCGTGGGGGTCTCGTGGGGGCCCTTTGGGGATCCCCTGGGGTGCCTTCGGGGGCTCGGCGGTCGTCTTGAAGCTCCCCGGGAGCGATTCCGAGGTAGTGCTGGTTCAGAGCCCCTTCCGGGGCCGATGTTTTGAGGATGTCCCGAGCGAGACGAACATTGTTCAGAAATTCGCCCGTAAAGTTTCATTGTGCGACCCGCACTCCTAAGTCAGATAAAACATGATCGGACAGGAACTGGAAGCGCCGAGTTTGTCCGTCTGCGCTCGTGGGGGCAGAGAGGAAAAGGATGACGGCGACGACCAGGCGGTGGATGACGAGGATGACAGCGTGGATGGCGAGGAGGGCAGCGAGGGGAGCAGGAGGACACCGAGTAGGAAGACAACCGCGGGGACGAAAAACAGATGGAGGCGTACGAGTACGAGGAGGAAAGAAGTGGAGGAGGAGAAGGAGGAGGAGAAGAAGAAGGACGACGACGACGAAGGACGGTAAGGCGCCCGACGAAAAGGACGTCGAGGAGGAAGAGAAGGACTCGCACGAGCAGGAACGAAGCGGGACACCCCCGCTCAAGACATCTGATGGATCTCGTGAGCCGTCAAGTCCTTGTGGGGCCCTCTGGGGGAGCATCTTGGAAACTTCTTGGAGGCTTCAGTGACCCTGTTGGACTGTGCGGGCGCGTCTTGAAAGTCTGTGGGGGCTATTTTGGGGTGTCTTTTGGTGTTCTCTTGGACTGCCCCGGGGCTCTGTTGGGCTCTGAGGAGGAGGAGGAGGAGGAGGAGGAGGAGGAGGAGGAGGAGGAGGAGGAGAGAGGAGGAGGAGGAGGAGGAGGGAGGAGGAGGGAGGAGGGAGGAGGGGGAGGAGCAGGAGGAGGAGGAGAAGGAGGAGGAGGAGGAGGAGGAGGAGGAGGAGGAGGAGGAGGAGGAGAGGAGGAGTGGGGGTCTGTTGGGGCGCTTTGTCTGGGCGGCTCTGGAGAACCTCTTCGCGGCCTCTCGGGGCCCTTCGGGGGTCCCCTCGGGGGCCTTCGGGGGCTCTCTGGGGCCGTCTTTGAGCTCTCCGAGGGCTCACTGGGGCCGTCTGGAGGCTCCCCGGGAGCGACTCTGAGAGAATGCTGGTTCGGGGCCCCTTCCGGAGCCGATCCTTTCAGGATGTCCCCGGCGAGACGGCCATCCTTCCGAAGTCAGACCTCTCTCCCTGGACCAACAGTGCACGCCAGAGGCGCTTCCCGACGCCCCTGAAGCCTCAGTCCCCACTCCTGAAGAATATTTCAGGGGCTCGGACCCCGAACCCCCGGTTTCTCCCGGGCTTGGCGCGTCCCCCGGCTTGCCGCGTCTTGTCGCGTGGCCGCTTCGGGCCCAAGAGGGCGAAGAGGGCCCCCAAGAGGCCTCCAAGACGGCCCCAGACGGCCTCGAGTCGCCGAACGATGGCCCTCAACACGTTCCAGATGGCCCCCGGACGGCCCAAGAGGCCTCCAAGACGCCCAAAGAGGCCTCCAAGATGCCTCCCCAGAAGTTAAAATCGCTAATGCTCCTCAGGCATTTGGAGCTTTAGCGTTCTCGCCTTTTCGGCTCCCCCACGCTCACAGACGGCCCTAGAGCCTCCCAAGACTGCCCCGAGACGGCCTAAGAGGCCTCCAAAAGGGCCCCAAAACGGCTCAAGAGGGCCCCAAGCCAGCCTAGGAGGCGCCCAAGAAGACCCCAAGACGGCTTCAATAATGAGCTTCAAAGATGGAATACGAATCGAAAATTCAAACCTTTCGTCCCAAGAGGCCCGCAAGAGGCCCCAAGAGGCGCCCAGGAGGCCCCAAGAGGCACCCGAGAGGCCCCCAAGAGGCCCCCAAGAGGCCCAAAGGAGGCCCCAAGAGCTGCCTCCAAACGGCCCCCCCAAGAGCTGCCTCCAAGAGGCCCCCGAGAAGCCTCCACGAGACCCCAAACGAAGATACAAAAAGCTCCATACCCATAACGCAGGCACGGTGGCAGGATGAGCCGAAGGCTATTCGATTGATGAGCACATACCACATAGAAGATGGAATCGACTCGAACTTCACAAACGGTTTCAACTCGCCGTCTGCATCTCGGTACCTGGCAGCCTCCCACACTGCACTCTCGCCAGTGTTGGTGCGATTTGCGATGAAATAGAGGCCGCTCATAAGGGTCCAGATCACGAACGTGATCACGAACGAGACGCCCAACAATTTTCCTTTCTTGGAAACGACAGTCGTCAACTTCACGAACCCGGCCCATTTGTTTCTGGCCGCCATCTCAAGGACGCGGAGAAAGAAAAGCCAGAGCAAGTTGAAGTGATCGTGGTGCTCAAGCCACATATTCCCTCGAAGGTAAACAAACTCGTTGGCAAGAGCAAAGGCTTCCACCAAGGTGTAGCCGTTCCAAAAGAAGAAGCGCAACGGGCCCGAGATGCCGTAGGCAGCCCATTGGGGATGAGACGGGACCGCGGCAAGGCGCCCAAGGAACAAGATGGTGAATATCGGCAACGCACTCAGCTCGGCGATGCGATTCAAATCAAACGCGTCCACGTCGATGCCAGCGAACTTGTAATGTTTGAACTCATCTTTCATCTTCGCCTCAGTGAGGACAGAGAACGAATAGAAATTGCAGAGCGAGAGCGCGACAGTTATGAAGTTCACGAGAGAGGCAGCCTCACCAGTTCCCCAGAAAGCGCTGTAGAGAAAACCTCTGTCCACCTCGAGAGAGCCCCCCTGGCCGTCAAACGACGTCGTCAACTTGTCGGAAACGGGCATCGGCTCGAGCATGTCCCTGAGCATGTCATAAGAGAACAAAGTGACCATCATCAGGATGAAGTACATGAACCACCCCATTTCCAACTCCACCTCCAACCGATCCAAACAGCACACAAGTACCCATGATGCGAGGTCCCGAGCGAGTGGACCAATCCGGACGATCAGATGGGTCGGCGCTTGTCTTCTAAGTTAGTTCTAGGGGGAAGGGGGGGTGAATTTCGATCGGAGGACCTTATCCCAAGAGCTGAGCTCAACGTAATTCTCTTCTTCATCGCTTTCTTCTTCTTCTTCGTCTTCTTCTCCGTCTTCTCCGTCATCTCCGTCTGCGCCGTCACCCATTCCTTCGGCGGTATCACCTGGCTCCTGCCGGATGTTGACGAAAGTGCCCGTGCCCCGGGCAGTGCCAAGAGAGGCACTGGGGGGCCCGCCATCTCCTCGAGGAGGAGGCCCCGTCCAGCTCGACCCCCCCCGAGTGTCCCAAGCCACTCCAAAAAAGACGATGCCCAACTCAGCGGGTCCTTGGAAAAGAAATGATCGAGGGGTCCGCGGCCAGAAAGCAGCAAGCCGCCGGAGGAGGTCTGGGCTGGGCCGTTGGGCCAGGATCTCAGGATCACTGACAATCGGGAGCGGCCAAGAGGGGGGTGTCCAAGAGGGGGGGTTCTCAAATCATGACCGGCGGCACGTGCGCGGCCCAGCGGGGGGGCCAGGGACATAATGAAGTAAGAAGAGGCGCCATGAAATCTGGGGAGATGTCATGGCCCCCGCCATGATATCCACCCCCCCCTAGTCATCACCCCCCTCTTTTCCGCCCCCGAGACAAGCGACATCCACCACCACCATCGCAAGGAGCCAGGAGGGGCCCCCACCGGTGCAGTGCAGTGCGCGGAGGCACCTCCAGCCCCTGGCCTGGGGAGAGATCGTCCCCCCCCCCGCTGCTGGAGGCGACCCGGTGGCACGCATGGCGTCGCTTCCCTTAAGTCGGGCGTGTCCCCCTGCAGGGTTAGTTTGGACGAAGAATTCTAAGAGATCCCAAGACTACCCAAAAAGAGTCAAACAGAATGCTAAAAAAATCATCCCCTGACTATTTCTGGTTATTTTTGAATAGTCCACCTGTATGGGGACACGCCCGACTTAACGCTTCCCCTTCAGGACACCCGACGTCCCGATTGTCTCAAGGCGCCGAAGTCCCGACTCCTTCTCCGGGGCCAGCTTTGCGTCCCGAACCGTTTTCTGACGGCCCCCGGGGGCCCGGCGAGGGCCCCCAGAGGTCAAGAGCGACGCAAAACCGTCGTCTCAGTTTTTTTCCAGACCCTGAGAATCTGATGGCGGGAGAAAACTGCAGCACCGTGAACATCGTCTCTGGACCTCCGGGCCCCGTCCTTCTGCGGCATCTTCCGAGCCGAATCGATCATTGAAGGCCCATGGGGCCCGAGGCCAGTCGAAAACACCTTGCTTGACAAAGTTGCAGCCTCCAGGGGCTCCAGTACAGGCGGAAACGCCCGGAGTGAAACAAATTCTACGGCAAGTCCGCGTCGTGTCGACCCCGGGGCTGGTTCCCGACACCGCGGGGATCGTTCAGCCTTGAACGATCGGCCGTTCGCGAAACGTCAGCATCGTTCAACATCGACCGATCCTGGGCCGCTGGCAACGTTCAACTTCGAACGCCTGCGGTGGGGTCGTCGCTGGTCGACTCGACGCGAACCTGCCGTACCCCTGGATACCAGACACCCGAGAACATGAATTTAGCAGGACGTCGACCCGTCTCGACCCATTCCTTGGGACTGACTTCTCGTCCTGAGTATGGTTCTCTTCATGGCCCCCGGGCCCCCCAACAAAGGGCTGGAAACATAGACAACCCTTCCGTCGCAGTTGCTTCCTGACTCGAGGGGGCCTGGGATCTCAGGGTCTCATCTTCATGCGACGCCAGACGTGCGAGGCGGGGATCTATCCACGCCCGCCGCCTGGGAACCGATGCCCCGGTGCCCCCGCGGGCGGTGGATACATATATATATATATATATATATATATATATATATATATATTATTTATGTTATTATGCAAGGCATGGTAGTCTCAAGCATGGGAAAAGGGGGCACCTTAGGCGCAAGCGGGCTGTACACACTGTACGGTCAAGGAGCCAAGTAGCACATGTGGCTACGACCTGTGCAGCACTGGCAGCACTGCCAAGTGATGAGAATGCCCGGATTGTTGGGCAAGCCGCCGATGCTCGCGATCTTTGGCTCGGAGTGCGGCCGCCTGCGCTGGAGGCAGCAGAGGGCAATTAGCAATGATCCACTCGCGGCACCGTGGCCGGCGCGTATCGGAAACATGTGCCAACAGGCGCACTCGCTCTCGAAAATCTTAGTGGCATGCAGGGCACACAGACGACCCCAGCCGGTCCTGGATCGACAGTGTCTGCCCATGCTTGCGGCGCTGGTGGCTGGCAAGGGCACGGGAACTGATGAAGGCGGCACCGCAATGGCAGACGTGCTGCGCGGGTTGGCCGGGCTGTACAGGAGCGCGAGTGTGATCATAGACCGAGGGGGCAAAAAAGATCTTATCTAGAAGCGCATTCCAATCGTTCCGCTTGGCCAGGAGGTCCTGCCAAGCAAGGGGGTCAGAGGAGAAGGAGGGGAACTCAGCAGGCAGAAATGGGTGAAGAAGAAAAGTATCATTCTCAATCTGCTCTACCCACTGCAAACGCTGCCCTCCAGGCCGGGCGTGCAAAATAACAATCAAAGCACGCGGGCGGTGCGCGACCAGCCGAGCGAGATACTTCAGCCGCATGCGAATGATGTGGCATTCTATGGCAGGCTGCCCCAACATTTCGCGAATCTGGCGATCCGTGTGCTCGGTTCTGGTGAAGCGAGGCTCGTTGGCAATGCGCCTCAAAACGATCATGTAGGCACCACTCAGCTTCTTGAGCTTCCGCGGGGAGGGCGTCAGCACCTGCATGCCGAACAGCAGCTTGCTCATCAGAAGACAGTGGAGGAATCGTATTTTGTGCGCCCGCTGGACGTGCTGGGACCCGAACACCTTCCAAGACAAGGGGGCGTAGGCCTGGAGCGTGCGGGAAGCCTTGGAGTTGACATCCGCCATGCAGCATTCCCGGAGAGACGTATACACTCCCAAATGCTTATATGATGTGACAACGGCGATGCTAATGTCGCGCCCAGGCACGGCAATCCGAAGACTACCGTCCTCTTGCCGGCGAGCCTCACGATGGGCAGCGCAACGGGCGCCACGATACTGTAGCAATGCTTCTGTTTTTCCGGTAGAAGCGTTCAATTGCAAGTGCAGCTTTTCGAACACCCCGAAGACGATGCCCAGCAGCTTGTCGATGTGATCGTCTAGGATACGCGGAGTCGGCGCCATGATAGCCAAAGCCTGGTCATCAATGAAAGCCGCGTCGAGCAGCGACTCGGTCGGGGTCGCGTCGTTGCGCGGCGGGGCCCAGAAGGGCCCGTCGGGCAGCGGCAACTTCAGCGCGATGCCTGCCCGGTCGGCCTCCCAAGCAATCATATCGAGCGCAATGCCGTAGACTCCGTTGAAAATTAGCGCCCCCAACTTGCAGCCTTGCCGTCCGCCCGTGCGGCTGGTGACGCACGTGGAGAGGTCAGATACCGAGACCCAGGCGTTGTCGTGCAGCGTCCGCATCATCTCGGCTGCCGCTGGATCCATCCCCCACATGTGAAGGAGATGGCCACGCTCGTCCAAGTACGATAACATCCAATCGGCGGCCGAAGGACAAACAGAGAGTGCGATCAAGTGATCACGCTGCTGATCTCTGTGTAACGACCCCCAGCCATAGATGAGCTGTCTGATCACTCTGTCGTAGGCCTCCGTCAAGTCGACGCACAGCACCATGATAGAGAGCTTGGCCTTGGCGGCGTAGTCGACCAGTGAATGCAGCGCGTGTGCGGCCATGTCCGTGCCGCGCTTCGGGATGGCTCCATACTGGGCCTCAGGCTGGTGAGAGATGCATGTGTCGTCCACACTCCTTTGCAAGATGCCGGCCAGGCCCTTGCTGGCATGGTCAGCCAACAGGATGGTGCGATAATCGTCGGTTGCAGTAGGATCCCCCTTGCGTTTGAAGATCTCCTGGGGCCGGCCGCCGCGCCAGGCCGTAGGCCACGCTCCTGTGTCGCGGATGCGTACGTTGAGGTCGGAGAACCGGCTCGCAAGGGCGGAAGCACCAGCTTGCAGAACCTCAGCGGGCAGCCCATCTTTCCCGACACCCTTGTTCCTTCCCAGCGCCAGGCATGCCCTGCGAGTGGCCTCGGGGCCTACATCAAGAACGGTAGGAAGACCATGGGGGAAGCTGGGAGGAGGACGGAGGGCATGGGCGTCCACGACCGGCCCCTGGAAGATCTCGACGGCGTGCTGCTGCCAAACCTCTTTGACCTCAGCCGGGGTCGCGGTGAGGTTACCGGAGGCGCCCCGCACGCACTGACTAGGTTTGGACGCGCGCCCGCCCAGGGCACGGAGAGTAGCAAAAGCTTTCCGGGCGTCCCCGGCGTCGAGCGCCATGGAAATGCCTCCGGCCATGCTATCGAGGTACTTCTGGCGGTCCTACTCCGGCAGCGGGCGGACTAGCTTTTGCAGGGCAAAGATGGCGGCGCCGATGTATGCCTCGTGCTTGAAACCACGGCGTACTTCAGCACGTAGTCCACGAGCACATCCAAAATTATGCTGCAGACGCGAGCATTGGTCTTGCCACGCATGGAGGCAGAGGAGCGCCATGCAGCACATCTGGCGACGGTGACGCGGTAGCGGAAGCGACGAAGAGGAGCGATGTTCTGAACGACCTCCCACACTCGAGGACTCATCCACGCTTTCCGGGGCTGGCGCTCCGGCCTCCCGAAGCACTGAAGAGCCGCCCACCGAGTCCATTCAATGAGGATCGCATGGTGGTCGTCGATGTGGACGGTGGAGGGGACGGCGGGGAAGCGCCATAGAAGTTGTTGGAAAGCGTCGCAACGCGCATAACAAGACATGTTGTGCTTGTTAACGCGGAACGGCCTGTCAACTACAACCGGGGGCTGCTGCGGCAGCACACGCGCGTGCAGGGCAACTACCAGGTGGTCCTCCTTGGCGTTGAGGGTGAGGTCGATGTCAGCGTCGACTCTGCACCACCTCATGCCGGCAAAGACGTCAATCGTCATGACTACATAATCGATCCGATGCTTGGTGCCGTGCGTCGATGTCCATGTGGGGCCGCCATCACCCCAAGTGTTCCCAATCTTCATGTCGAAGGTCTCGGACAGAAGCCTCAGGCTGGCTCCGTTGGGATTCTCTGCTTCCGGCGTGCTGGGGCCACATGCCGGCGAGGTAACGGATCCGACGCGACCGTTCGCGTCAATCAGAAGAACCCACGGCATGGAGCATCTCTGGATGAGTCGATGCATTTCCGCGGTGAGCTCAGCCCACCACTGCAGCCTCATATCCTCCTGCGTCATGCTGTGGGGGGCGTGTGCGACCACGAAGCCCGTAAGAAGCGTAGCACGCTGCACGATGACGTACAATATGCGCGGGGAGACGGCGGCCCAGAACTGGACGTACGAGCCGTGCCGGACCCAGCATTGCACACCGAGGGAGCCGTCAGGCTCCGCAGCAGCAGCCAACATAGTGTAGTGCTGGCCTTCGGTCTGCTCGGTGCGCTTGGACCGCCCCTCCTGGACGCCAACGACGTCGTAGAGGTGGTCGCGGAACTGTTGTTCCAGCAAGGTGATCTTGCTGCGGAGGCACACCCCGCTGACGTTGGCGTACGACTTATCAACTGTGTGCGGATGGAGGGTCAACACGTTGGCGGTGGCGCACCGCATGCTGACAGCGGCGACCGCAGGAGATGTCACTCCCCGATCTCCATCGTCGCAGCCTGGCGTCTTGCCCTTGAAGTAGTTCTTCGTGAAGCGTTTCGGCGCCTGCTTGCCGACGTGCCGGATCCGGAGGGGAACAGGGGCAGCCTTGGTGGCGACGCGCCGACCAAGAGTGGCCGGAGCTGTAGCAGCAGCCGCCGCCGCCTGCTCCAGCGTGGCCTTGAACTTGGCGATGATGTTCTGGGACTGCACCTGCGCCTCGGTGGCGGCATCGGGTGCAACAGTCTTGAAAGACGCGAGCTGCGCGATGGTGGCGTCCAGCTGCTGTGTGAGGTTCGTAATGACGTCGCTGGCTACATCGATGGAGTCCTTGGTACTGGGGACCTGGGTCTCCAGCTCGCGGAGGTCGGTCTCGAGCTTCTGCACCTCCTCCTTGGCAGCCTCGACGGCTTGCTGGACGAGGCGGAGGCTCTCCTCGGCAGTCGTCAGACGACAGCGGCTGCGCGCCAATGCCGCGCGAGCCCCATCCAGCCTCTTCCCGATGGGCCGGAGGTCGCCCAGCTGCTTCCGCTTCTCGTCCAACTGCTGTTGAACTTGAGTGCGAGCCTCCTGAAGAGCAGGTACGTCTGGAATGGAAGTCAGAGCAGTCTCCAATTGCCTGATGGAAGCCACCAGCTCGTTCCGCTTTGGAGTTGCGTCCTCCGTCCCAGGAGTATGGGGCGAGGGTGCCGCAGGCACAGTCACTCCAGCGGAGGGCGGCGGTGCCGAAGGCGCAGGTGTCGGAGGTAGTAGTCCGGTGGCCTGGGCAAGCTTCTGGGCAACGACCTGAAGCTGCTGTTGCACAGGATTTCCGGGTTTTGGCCCTGGGCTCGGCGGGGGCACTTCGGAGGCTTTCTGGGCAGACTTTGCAGCTTCTGCCCAACTGCGGCGCATGCCGCATGTGTTGCATACGTGCTTGGAGTGGTTGGTAGACTGGCACCCAGTGCAGACCCAGTTGCGCACCGTCTGCTGCTTGAGCTGCGGCGCGCGAGTCCCAATCCAGTGCCAATTGCCTGATGGATCCCTCCGCCACTCCGAAGTCGACGGCGAGGGGGAGGAATGCGAGAAGCCAGAGCCGGCGGCGGACCAAGACTTCCATTGCGATATGGGCAGCCCCGTGCTGCCAAGGGAAACGCAATCAGAAAGACGCTGGCTCTGGGAGAGGTTCAAAGCTTAAAGCTTGCAGCTGGTGTAGACTTGCAATTGACTCAGCCGCGTGGCTTGAGCCAAAATGGATACGGGTATATATATATATATATATATATATATATATATCCGCCGATCCGGCGTGTGAGTTTCAAGGAGTCTCAGCTACAGCCTCGAGGCTGAGCCTCAGCCTCTGGGGGGGTTGCCGGGGTGGCTCTGCCGGGGAAGGGGGGGTGGGGGGGGGGTGCGAGTTTCCGGCGGATGCGTTTTTTGACACCCCTCACAAGGATCGTGGCCTCCGAGGGGGTTCCGAAC